GCCAGTTCACGGCCAAGGTTATGAGGAGCTGGTGGAGGTTGTGACTCGTGCTGTGGCCAGACTTAACATCAGCTGGCCACATGATGAGCAGGGAACGCAAGTGAGAAGCAAGCTTGATGAGCGTTTCCTGCAGCACAGATCGCAACCTCAGCGCCGGGGTTTGCCGTTTTTCCCCGATCTCCACAAAGAGATTTCGAGATCGTGGGATAAACCGCACTCATCCCGTGTCTCCAATCCCAGTATGGTGGATTACAGCAATGTTATGGGGGCACGGGATATGGGTTATGGGAAGATGCCTAAGGTGGAAGAGGCTTTAGCGGGTTATCTTTCTCCTGAGTCGGCATCTTCCCTAAAAACCCCGGCGTTGCCTAGTAAGCCCTGCAGAGATACATCTGCATTAATAGGCAGGGCTTACATGGCGGCAGGTCGGGCTGGTTCATGTCTGCACTCTATGGCACTCTTGCAGGCATACCAGGCCGACCTCCTGAAAGATTTGGATGAGGGGGAGGGGCCAACTCCTGAAGATATTGCGGAGTTAAGGAGAGCCACAGATCTGTCTCTTCGGGCCACAAAAGAGACGGCCCGCGCTATTGGCCGCTCTATGGCAGCTATGGTGGCCACGGAGAGACATCTGTGGCTGAATTTATCTGGCATGAAAGAGAAGGATAGATCCTTTCTGCTGGATGCGCCGCTTTCGCCTTCTGGCCTGTTCGGCGACGCCGTTACATCGGTCGTCGACAGGTTTCAGGAGGCGAAGAAACAATCTGCGGCGTTCCAGCAGTACCTCCCCCGTAAGGCGAAATCCAAATCGAGTAGGGTGGGGCCAAAAGATCAGCCCCAGCCATCAGCCGGCTCCTCACACCGAGCAGAGCAGAGAGAGAGCGTTTCCTCTAGAGCCCCTCCTCCTGGAGCTTGGCAACAGAGGAAACACTCTCAAAAGTCGAAGTCCTCCAGCCAGAAGGGCGACCTGAGGGACGTCATTCAGGCTAGGAGGGCTTCGGGGAAGAGGTCCTAACCGAAGTGGTAGGACCTCTGAGGGCTGTCCCCTCCGCTGTAGGGCAACCGAGGTTGTTCTCACAGCGGAGCCCTCTAGGAAACGATGTATGTTGCCCGCCGTCCACGACGCTTCGGGCCGCATCTCTTTCCAGCGAAAATATTTTAATAAAGAAAAAGCATCAATTATGGTCACAAAAGCCGTATCGACTACACCCTGCCGGTATTCCGCTTCAGGGAGTCGAGAAAGATGCTCGAAAAACACCAGAGGCCAGTCTCGAGAGGCTGGTACCCCTAGTAGATTTTGTAGAGGCATGGTGTCATCTTCCCAACATATCTGCATGGGTCCTGCATATAATAAAATCAGGGTACAGACTGCAGTTCGCGCGCTGCCCCCCCAGGTTTTCAGGGGTAGTGCAGACTACAGTGGTTCCAGAGCAGGCTCAGGTGATGGAACAGGAGGTACAGACTCTGCTGCTAAAGGAAGCCATAGAACGTGTTCTTCCTTTGGACAGGGAGTCCGGGTTTTACAGCCGGTACTTTATAGTTCCAAAGAAGGATGGGGGGTTAAGGCCAATTTTAGATCTCAGGGTTTTGAACCGGTCTCTGAGGAGGTTCAGGTTCAAAATGCTAACCATTCCTGCAATCGTGAGTCAGATCAGGTCCGAGGACTGGTTTGTCACGATAGATCTAAAAGACGCTTATTTTCACATCTCCATCCTTCCATGTCACAGGAGATACCTGAGGTTCGCTTTCGGGGGCGAAGCTTACCAATATCGGGTTCTTCCGTTCGGCCTAGCTCTCTCTCCCCGCACATTTACCAAATGTATGGATGTAGCCCTTGCTCCACTGAGACTTCAAGGCATTCGTATATTGAATTATCTCGACGACTGGCTCATTCTGGCTCAGTCTCGGGAGATGGCAGTTCGGCATCGAGATGTCGTCCTTGGCCACATTCAGAAATTGGGGTTGAGACTCAATACAAAGAAAAGTGTGCTAGAACCATCCCAGTGCACGATGTTTTTGGGAGTCGTGTGGAACTCGATTACGATGCAGGCACGAATGTCTCCCGCACGTATCGAGTCAATTCTGGGGATGGTATCCAGGTTGAAGCTAGGCCAAGCCATCACTGTAAAGCAATTTCAAAGAATGCTGGGCCTCATGGCAGCGGCATCCAACATCATTCCTTTGGGCCTTCTACATATGAGGCCCCTTCAGTGGTGGTTAAAAACCAAGGGGTTTTCTCCCAAGGGAAATCCGTTTCGTATGATCAGAGTAACGCGCAGATGCCTTCGTTCTCTACAAATATGGAAGAAACCTTGGTTTCTGTCCCAAGGGCCAGTGTTGGGAGTGTCTTGTCGCCGGAAAACCGTTTCGACAGACGCCTCCCTCACTGGCTGGGGCGCGGTCATGGACGGCCGCTTTGCCAGGGGTCTGTGGCAGGACCATCATCATTCTTGGCATATAAATTGCCTGGAGATGATGGCTGTGTTCAGGGCTCTGAGGAGCTTCCTCCCAGACATCAAAGGTCACCATGTATTAGTACGATCAGACAATACGTCAGTGGTAGCCTATCTGAACCGACAAGGGGGACTCAGATCGCGCCCTCTGTGCAGACTGGCGCATCAGATTATTCTTTGGTCCCAGGGGAAAATACTGTCTATCAGAGCAATGTATATTCCGGGGGTTCAGAATCAGGGAGCAGACATCCTGTCGAGGCAGGGGCTGAGGCCCGGGGAATGGAGACTTCACCCAGAGGTGGTGAAGTTAATATGGGAGAGGTTTGGACCGATGGAAGTGGACCTGTTTGCGTCTCGAGAGACGTCCCACTGTCCACTTTGGTTCTCCCTCTCACATCCAGCCCCACTGGGGTTGGATGCCATGGTACAGGCCTGGCCGAGGCTTCGCCTGTACGCTTTTCCCCCGATCGCTCTGCTTCCGGGAGTCCTGGAGAGGGTCCGTCAGGAGGGCATCAGTTTACTTCTGGTTGCCCCAAGGTGGCCGACCCGAGTATGGTTTTCAGACATAATATCACTCCTGATAGCTCCGCCATGGCAGATTCCTCTGAGGAGGGATCTGTTGTCTCAAGCGGAGGGCACAGTCTTCCACCCTCACCCAGAGCTGTGGAAGCTGTGGGTCTGGCCTCTGAGGGGGTTCAGTACCTAGATGCTGGTCTATCAGCCGGAGTGGTTGAAACCATACTTAGTTCTAGGGCTCCATCTACTAGGAGATTATATGGCCTCAAGTGGAATGTTTTTTCCGCTTGGTGTAGAGAACAGGAGTTAGATCCAGTTAACTGCCCAGTGGCTTCAGTTCTGGAGTTTCTTCAAAATCGTTTCTCTGCGGGTCTCTCCCCTTCCACACTTAAGGTGTACGTGGCTGCCATTGCGGCTTTCCATGCACCTTTGAGTGAGGGGCCTCTGGGGAGGCACCAGTTGGTCATTCGGTTTCTCCGTGGTACTCGGAGGATGAGACCGACAACCAGGTCCAGGGTTCCTACCTGGGACCTGGCAATAGTTCTTGAAGGGTTATCCCTGGCCCCCTTCGAACCTTTGCAGTCGGCTTCGCCTAAGGACTTGACGCTAAAAGTGGTATTTCTCTTGGCTATTACCTCACTTAAGAGGGTGGGAGATCTCCAAGCCCTGGCAGTGACACCAGCTTGCTTGGAGTTTGCCCCTGGCAGAGTAAAAGCTTTTTTGCACCCGAGTCCGGGCTATGTGCCTAAAGTTCCATCTAGTACGGCTCGGTCTACAGTCCTTCAGGCATTCCATCCTCCACCTCATGTGTCGGCAGAAGAAGAGAAGCTTCATTTGCTCTGCCCCGTCAGAGCTTTGAGCGTGTACCTTGAGAGGTCCTCTTCTTGGAGAAGGTCGGACCAATTATTAGTGTGTTTTGGGTCACCTAAGAAGGGGCTCCCAGCATCCAAGCAGACTATTAGTAATTGGATTGTTCAAGCTATTACTGAGGCTTACAAGGTGCGCAACTTGCCTTCACCTTTAGCCGTGAGGGCTCATTCAACTAGAGGCATGGCTTCCTCTAGGGCCCTTCTTTCGGGAGTACCCCTACAGGAGATCTGTGAGGCAGCCGGTTGGGCTACTCCACATACTTTTATTAGGTTCTACAGTCTCCACCTTCCTAGTACGCCTGGTGCACACGTGCTTAGTCCTCGCTGAGTGCCTAGACAGTTTCACTCCGGGACAGGCCTATTCGGTGCGTGGCCTAGTGGGCACTCGTTCCCCAAAGAGTCGATTCTCGACGCAGTGTTAAGTTCCCTCGAAAGGGAACGTCTCGGGTTATGACTATAACCCTTGTTCCCTGAGAAGGGAACGAGACACTGCGTCGTTCTGCCACGCCCCTTAAGGCCTGAGAGCGGCTTGCTTCATCGCTAGGCTAGTTTGTGTTTGTTCCGGCGTAGCTTTTATGCATCCGGTTATGCCGTCACATGTTACGTCATGACGCAACACCAATCAGGATTGGAATAGTTTCATTCATACTTCAGAGGCGCACGCTAAGGGAGCGTCCCCAAAGAGTCGATTCTCGACGCAGTGTCTCGTTCCCTTCTCAGGGAACAAGGGTTATAGTCATAACCCGAGACGTTTTCCGCAAGTATAGTGGCATGTTGAAATAAATGTAAACGATATTAAAGTGATTATATGATCAGTGTAATGTATATTTACATAATTCTCTCTCTCTCTCTCTCTCTCTCTCTCTCTCTCTCTCTCTCTCTCTCTCTCTCTCTCTCTCTCTCTCTCTCTCTCTCTCTCTCTCTCTCTCTCTCTCTCTCTCTCTCTCGCGCTCTCTCGCTCTCACCACAATGAAGTGGCCTTTCGGAGTAGATACTGCAAATTCCCAGCAGAGGGAACTATACAGCACAGTACCACTGTCCACAACCATTGTGTTTTGAAGTAAAATGATAAAAAGCTATAGAGTGCATGATTATGATGTTATAAAAACATTTTCTTGTTAATAAAAGGATATGAATGTTTTGTGTGAACCTTGTTCTGTAGGAAGCTGGTCACAGATCCAGTGCAACGCCCCGCCTGGGAGCCAGCAGACTTTGAAATCTGTCGCTGTAAAATGAAAGTAAAAGGAGGAGGAAATTTAGAATGAAAGAAGTGAGATTGTAGGAAGCTATTCGTCACTTTCAAGAAGACGCGGTGGTGTTATGAATGAAGTCTCAGAATGAATTTGCATGTTTCTGAAGATCACAGGTAAGACTCTGGTTAAAACCGAACGTTTAGATCATTGTCAAGCCAAGCATGTTTAAGTGAATTTCTTCATTTTACTTTTGTTAAGGTGTTTTAACTCGCATCTTGTGTTCACAGTGCTGTCAAGAAGTCTTGTGTATTTGAGCCATACAGGAAGCATAAAAACATAGGCAAATGTCTAATAATCAGTAATGAGCACTTCCCTGGTGAGTATTATCAGCCTGTATCTCCACTGAACTATAAAGTTGTGTAATCTCTGACTTGCTTGCAGTACGCTATTTGGAACTGCTCTTTGATACGTATCTGCCCTTTAAAATGGCTACAATAATTTTAAAGTTGAACTTAATGCTACTTAGGAAGAAAACAATTATATATAGAACCTTAAAGGGTTCTGTCAGGCACTTCATATTGGCTATAGAACCTTTTAAGGTTCCCATCATGGGATCATTTTATGGATTATGTTTTAATTAATTAATTTTTGTTTAAATCTATTTTTCTGAATTAAAAAATCTAATAAACACACTTTATCACTACAAAGAATAACCTTTTACGCACAAAAGTATTATGTAATCATTTTAGACAATTCTCCTAATATTGAAACTTTTTGGCATAAAATGCTCTTTAAAATTGACTCAAGAGCCCTATACTGTAGTGTATATCTGAATTTTAACTTAAGTGTTAACCTTGCCTCTAACCTTGATTCTTGCTGACTCCAGCTCTTCTGTTTTGAGTTCTAATCCCACAGTGGTTTACAGTCTTGAGTTCTATTCATGTGATTTTTTAGCACACTAGTCCTGCTTTGTGGCATTTCACAGAGTATCCGTTCCTGAAAAAAACAAAACCTCTGGATTTTTCTAAAAACTGTTTTGTGATAATGAATGATTGACTGTAAATTATAACTCTGTACACACGGTTACATATGAAATAAATAAATAGTGATGAGTTTAAATGATTCAGTGATCCTGTATTGGGTTTGAATCAGTCTAATGAATCACACATTGATTCGGTGAGTCAAAGTACCACGATGACATCGCCAATGACATCAAAGTACCCCGAGAGAACGGACGGCTCAGTATCATCGGACGAATCATTCTCGCGGGACTTTGATGTCATACTTTGATGATGTGCTGCTTTAATTCAAACACACCTAATTCTTTTCAGTCATATTCAACTTTCTCAAAAACTCGAAAAGAATCAATGGAATTGTTGGAAATGAAACTTAAACCAGAAACATTAAATTCCCTATACATCTATTCCTTAGTTATGCCTTCTTGTTCCAGACTCACCACACTTGCAAAGGAAGGGCTGTTCAGTAGATGAACGCTTACTGTCGAGCACGTTCAAGTCCCTCGGGTTTCAAGTACAGGTGGAGAAGAACCTGTCGGCAAATGAAATGATTAGTGTGCTGAGAAAAGGTACAGTTCAACGTCATTTTCAGTGTTCAGGATGGGTCAAAATGCCTGTATTCATTTATAAATGTGCCCTAGTATCCAAGGAGAACCACGCAGACAATTCCTGCTTTGTGTGTGTACTGATGAGCCACGGAGAGGAAGGAACAATCCTTGGATCGGATGAGTGCTGGATCCATGTCAAAACTCTGACCTCTCTCGTGACTTCTGACCTCTGCCCTAGTCTGCGGGACAAGCCGAAACTTTTCTTCCTACAGGTAGCGGCCGTCTGCAAAAGAGAGAGAGAGAAGCATTTCATAACATTTTGTCTGTGGCTAACTAATGTGTTATTGGTTTGATTCCATATTCAGGCCTGCAGGGGACTGGAATTTGACCATGGTGTCGAGGCAGACAGTGAAAAAGCACCGGGCGAATATTTGGGAATATCGGACGTTCCCGAGGCGGATTTTCTCTGCTGTTATTCCACAGTGGAAGGTTTGCATTGCACTGAGAGACAGTGGCATAGTTGATTGGTTTCATTGAATTTTTGTACATTTTCAGCAAATGCATTTGAAAACATATTTGTTTCTCCACAGGGTACTACTCGTGGAGAAATCCAGAAACAGGCTCTGTATTTATCGGTGAACTTTGCAAGATGTTAAAGGACGGTCATCTAGAGATTATTCAGATTCTCACAAGAGTAAATCATCGTGTGGCTTTTCACTTCCAGTCTCACACCACAGACCCGGATACACACAGAAAGAGACAAATGCCGTGCTTTGCCTCCAGACTGACCAAGGATTTTTATCTTCATGTGGCAGAGGAGAAAAAGAAATAATATAAATTAAAAAACAATAATTTTCAATCACTGGGAGAAAGTCAGTGATGTGGTTTGCAAGGAGAGGGAGCAATTTATTAATATGTTAGTTCTCATATGCAAATACACTTCATTATTAAATATATGTTAATCAAATGATGTATAAGATGGCATATCTGAAGAACAGTCTAAGCGCATTGAATTAAATACTTCAGGAACTTTATTCATTTGTTTGTTTTTTCTCTTTTTTCTTTCCAAATAAAAATGGGTGCAAATCAAAAGATAACATTATTCATAAGAGGCAAGTGAATATCTAATGACAGATGCTAGACTTATGTATATTTCACTCTTTTTTTGATTATTCATATCATAGTCTTTAAAATATAATTACTGTATAGAGACAGTATTTTTTCATAGGTAAAGTTTGAAAGTCTGGCTCTGGGACAATGGTGAAACAATGAAATCTATACATAAAAGGCACTTGATTTGCATGGTAAAAATTAAATAATAAAGTTTTATGTGACCTTGATAGAAAAAGAAAACAGGCCTGTTAGCTTTAAAAGCAATCAAGTCATGACACATATAAATGTGTCCGCACTAAAGAAATACCCATATGTCTTTTAGTTGGAACAACTAAAAGTGAAAGACAACTTTTGATTAAGGGTCAAGTAAACATTGAATTATTGACACTTGATGAAGGGTAGTTTTCCCACCCGGTGGAGAAAGAAAAGGCAAAACAAAACAAAACCAGGCAAAGCATAACAAGCATAAGCAATAAAAAAAGTGTCATCATTGCCTGATAAAACCCATCAAGGAACCATAAAATAATATAAGGAGCATAGATGATAACCATGGTCACAGTAGTTATTAGAATAAGACAAAAACACTCTTCGTTTCATGTGGTCTCTCTCGGTCTCTCTCGGTCTCTCTCGGTCTCTCTCTCTCTCTCTCTCTCTCTCTCTCTCTCTCTCTCTCTCTCTCTCTCTCTCTCTCTCTCTCTCTCTCTCTCTCTCTCTCTCTCTCTCTCTCTCTCTCTCTCTCTCTCTCTGTCTCTCGGTCTCTCGGTCTCTCTCTCTCTCTCTCTCTCTCTCTCTCTCTCTCTCTCTCTCTCTCTGAGCGGAAGTTGGGTGAGTGGATGCGAGACTGAGCGTGGTTTTTGTGTGAGTGTTTTTTCTCTCTTTTTTCTCTTTTTTTCTATGTTGGTTTAGTTTTTATTTAAAATATTAGTTTATCGTTAGTGGTGTGCTTTAAGTGGGTTAGTTTGTTGGTGGCGGCGGCAACCGGTGTAACCGGGAGTCATGCCGGTTCGCGGTGTGGGAAGCGTGGGGCTGGAAACACTCACGCGTCGACATGCTTTTAAACTTTGTCCAACTATAGACTGTTCTGTGGAGGATTGCGCTCTAGCAGTCGGAGTGATTGTTGGATATGATAGCGTTAAATCCGCGTCTAGGATGAACAACGGAGTTGTGATTTTTGTTGATAGCTTTGACAAAGTTGCTACAATTGTTGAACAGGGTGTAACGGTCAAAGATATCCTGGTTCAAGCGGTGCCGCTCGTTAATCCGGCAAAAAAGATCATTTTGTCGCAAGTCCCTCCGTTCATTAGTAACGAAATGTTAGAGAGGGAACTTTCGAGACATGGACAGCTAATGTCTCCGATTAAAACAATTGGCCTTGGCTGTAAATCTCCGCATTTGAGACATGTTGTTTCTTTTAGAAGGCAGGTTTTTATGATTCTTAAAAACAACAATGAAGAATTAAATTTAGTGTTCAAGTTCAGAGTGGATGATTATGATTACAATGTTTCTGTGACGTCAGAGAAAATGAAATGTTTTGGATGTGGAATGGAGGGTCACCTTATACGATCGTGTCCAGAAAAATTCCCTGCTGAAATTAATAAGACAATAGAAATGGGTGAGTCAAGTAAATCTCAGAGACAAAAACAAAATGAAGTAAACGAACTTCAGGGTCAAAAATTGGGCAAAACAAACAAATTACAAGGACAAAAACAGGGTGAACCAGATGAAATTCAGGGACAAAAACAGAGTGAATCAAATGAAATTCAGGGACAAAAACAGAGTGTATCAAATGAAACTCAGGGACAAAAACAAAGTGAATCAAATGAAATTCAGGGACAAAAACAGAGTGAACTAAAACATTCTCAGGGACAAAAACGGATTGAGTCAGAAGGAATAAAATCGAAAAAATCAAACAAAGCTCAGAAGCTTGAACAAAATAAAGGGTCAACAAAGAAAAATGAGGAGTTTTTTCAGGCTCGCTCTCCAGTTGAGAACAGTCAACATTGTGAGATGGAAGAGGTGGCCAGTTATAGCGCTCAGAAAGAAGTAGAGGAGGTAGAGTGTTCTTTGACTGAAGAAAGTGAGATGCTAGTGGATGACAAATCTGACAAAGATAATGTAAAGAAAAGAAAAAGTAAAGATGGTTTTCAATCCTCTGGAAAAATGGGGAATTTTCCTCTTCATGGTCGCTCCCCAGACTCCTTATAGTGATGGTGAGGCAGACTCTGATGTGGACTCTATAGTGTCCTCGCAATCTTTGCCCCTGGAAGGAGGTGGCTACACTATGTTGAGTATTAAGAAGTTTCTTGAGAGAACTAAAGGAGCTAGGAATGTTAAGCTTGAGTGTGCGTTTCCTGATCTGCAACTTTTCATTGATTCGGTTAGAAATTTTCAAAAAAGTTCTGAAAGTGCAGGGGAGAAAGTGTTTACTGATCAAGAATTTTATCGTCTGAAGAAACTTGTTTTGAAGGTTAAAAGACAGCTAGAAGATGGCGAATATGTCTAGTTTTTCAAATTTGTTTTTTCTTTGTTTCTCTTTTGGTTTTCTTTTTTTCTTTTTTATGAGTGAGTTAAAAATTGGCAGTCTAAATTTGAATGGAGCTAGAGATGAAAGAAAAAGAGCTTCATTTTTTAGACTGTGCTCCCTTAAAAAAATGGACGTTATCTTGGTACAAGAGACACACAGTACTGTTGATAACGAAGTTGATTGGAAGAGAGAATGGGAGGGTGATGTTGTTTTAAGTCACAAAACTAGTAATAGTTGTGGAGTGGGTGTTCTTTTTTCCAAAAGTTTTAAGCCTCAATCTGTTGAATATGAAGAGTTTATTAAAGGCCGATTGTTAAAAGTCAGCGTAATGTATGAAAATGTATAACTTGTATTCATCACTGTATATGCTCCAGCTGTTGGTAAAGAGAGATTGACTTTTTTGGAAAATGTAAATGATGTTATTAGAGATTGTAATGATAAAGAGTTTTTATTTATAGGCGGAGACTGGAATTGCACAGAGAGTAGACTTGATAGAAATCATGTAGAGCCTCACCCTGCCTCTCGCACCCGTCTGATCCAATTAGTAGAGACTCATGAGTTACATGATGCGTGGAGAGGGTTGCATGATAATCAAAGACAGTACACCTGGACTCATTGTAAAGACAATTTATTGTCTATGGCCAGACTTGATCGTATTTATTGTTTTAAATATCATTCTAATGTTGTTAAAAACTGTTTTATTAGCCCTGTTGGGTTTTCTGATCACTCACTCGTGATTTGTGTTTTTCTGAAGTGTGTAAAGCATAGTAGTGCCTATTGGCATTTCAATACAGCTTTACTAGAAGATAACAATTTTAAAGAAGTTTTTGTATCTTTTTGGAAAAATCATCAAAGTACAAAATGATTTTATGTCTTTACAGCAATGGTGGGACTTTGGAAAAGTTCAAACAAAACAGTTGTGTCAGCAACATAATTGCAATGTTACCAAAGTCTTATTGCAGTCTGTGAAAGCTCTGGAGGCTGAAGTAGAAGAACTCCAGGTTTTGGCTGAAGCCACAAAAGATCAATGTTATCTTGAAGCTCTTGAGATCAAGAAGTCTGTGTTAGCGAACATGCTTGGGGTCTCAGCACAAGGGGCTCTTATTAGGTCCCGGTTTAAGAATGTGGCAGAAATGGATGTTCCATCACACTTTTTTTTTGGTTTGGAGCGGAAAAATGGTCAAAACCGATATATTCACAGTTTAAAGTCTGACTCTGGACATGTGTTGTCTGATCATACTGCTATTCATAAGCATGCTGTCAGTTTTTACTGTGATTTGTACAAATGTGAACACCAAGAGGACCAGATGTTAGCTCAGAGTTTTTATTCTAGTCTTCCCCAGGTTAAACAAGAAAATAATGTTGTGCTGGAAGCAGATATTTCCCTGGGTGAACTGCATGTAGCTTTGCAGAGTATGCAGAGCAGGAAAACTCCTGGACTAGATGGTCTACCTGTTGATTTTTATAAGTTTTTTTGGTTTATAATTGGAGAGGATCTTTTGGCAGTGCTGAAGGATAGTCTAGCCACTGGACGTCTGCCCTTAAGTTGTAGAAGGGCAGTTCTTACCTTGCTGCCAAAAAAAGGTGACCTGCCAGCTCATAAAGAACTGGAGACCTGTGTCCCTGCTTTGTACTGACTATAAGCTACTCTCCAAAGTCTTGGCAAGCAGACTTAGTAAAGTGATGGAACAAGTTGTTTTGCCTGATCAGACCTACTGCATCCCTGGCAGGCTGATTTCTGATAACATTGTTCTCATTCGAGACTTGTTAGAAATCTCTAAGCTTTTTGGTCTTAAAATGGGGATTGTTTCTATTGATCAGGAGAAAGCGTTTGACCGTGTTGAACACGAATATTTATGGCAAACAATGTGTGCTTTTGGGTTTACTTCTGGTTTTATCAATAAGATTAAGACATTGTATTGTGATGTTCAGAGTGTTTAAAAAATCAATGGTGTTTTGAGCGCTCCTTTTCAGGTCCAGCGGGGAATTAGACAGGGCTGTCCTCTCTCGGGCATGTTATATTCTCTGGCTTTTGAACCACTATTACATCGACTTAGATCTGTCTTACAAGGTGTGATTTTACCAGGGTGTAATATACCTTTAAAGTTATCTGCATATGCAGATGATTTAGTCATTATGGTTGATAATCAACAAGATATTGATATGCTAACAAATGTTATAGTTCAAATATGGTATCATTTCTTCAGCTAGAGTAAACTGGAGCAAAAGTGAAGCTCTCTGTATAGGAGTGATGGAAAAAAAGTTTAATTTGCCGGTGGGATTAAATTGGGAAGACAGAGGGGGGGTTAAAGTACTTAGGTGTATTTCTGGGTGAAGAAACTTTTGTCCTTCAAAAACTGGGAAAATGTTCTTGAAAAGACTAAAGGTTGTTTTGCCAGATGGAAGTGGATTTTACCGAAAATGTCTTATCGAGGTCGAGTT